GCTGTCGCTGAGATGGTGGCTTCTGCACTTTGTCTCTTTAAATAGTAAACCAGAGGGGGTTTCCTCAAAACATAAGGAGGCAATGTGATGCCCTTGGCCACTGTCCTGGGCATGTGGAGCTGTACCCAGGGTGCCAGTCCGCCCCTCTCCCCAGCCATCCATGTAAGGCTTCGAAGAAAGTAGGAAGGGTACAGACAGCTTGGGAGTTCCTGTGTCCGCGTACTGTGTGCACCTGAGAGCACCTGAGGACCCGAGAGCTGCAGCTGGGCGCCACTTGTCAAGTGTGATCGCGAGGTCCATACCCTTAGTCCCAGAAGTCCCCCCTCTGCAGGTCTCAGCAGATCACAGGAGCATTGTTAACAAAACATTGAAAACTGTTCTGTATCAAGAGAGCCTAATTTGTAATAATTAAACGATGAGGAACGATCCGAATGCCCAGTGGGCAGAGAATGGTTAAATGTAGACGATTCGTTTATAGAGTAGAACATATTTAACAACAACCTGGGTAAACACTACAGAGTGAAAAGGGCAAAGGGGGAAAAATAGTATAATCACAACTGAAATAAGTAGAAATAGAGAACACAGATGAAAAGAGACACAAATTGAGTTGATGGATTTTTTTTCTTCTACTTTTCTGGCGTTTCCTGCTTTTCTTTAATGCTGATTACTTGTCTAATGAGGAGAAAGCCTGTTTTTGCTCATCCCTTTCCCCGGGGTAACCAACCAGACAGGAGCTGCCCGTGTGTAAAGGTTCTCTGTCCTCGCTCCCAGGGAAGATCAGCTTTCCTGCCATCCAGGCTGCTCCCTCCTTCAGCAACTCGTTCCCGCAGATCTTCGGGGACAAGACGGACGTCCAGTGCCTCATCCCCTGTGCCATCGACCAGGTCAGGAGGCAGCGGGGTGTCAGGTCTGGGCTGTGCGGGAGGCTCCGGGCACTCACCTGTGGGAAGGGCGGCTTGGGGTGAGGGGCTGGGGGACCGGTTCTGTGAACTGGCTGGGGTTGCTGTGAAGGCTGTCAGGTGACACTGATGGGCTAAAAGCTGGCGTGTTGCTTCCAGCCATCCTCAAAAGGCCCCTCTCTCCCCTAGGACCCTTACTTCAGGATGACGAGAGACGTCGCCCCCAGGATTGGCTATCCTAAACCAGCCCTGCTGCACTCGACCTTCTTCCCCGCCCTGCAGGGAGCCCAGACCAAAATGAGTGCCAGCGACCCCAACTCCTCCATCTTCCTCACAGACACTGCCAAGCAGATCAAGACCAAGGTGAGCACTTCGCTGGGCGAGGGACCGCCTATGCCCGCAGAACCACATGCTCAGGCACGCGCACCCCTGCACCAGCGCTCTGTCGTTTCGGTATCCGCTGCCCCAGGGCTGCTGAAATCCCCGACTGAAAACTGTCCCCCTGCTGACTCAAGGCCTCCTGCCCCTGTTCCCAGATATCAGGGGAATTTACTTTGTGTCCTTTCACTAAGGCAAAACTTTACATTTTTTTCCCTTTTCTCATCAGCGCTGTGTTCTGGTAGCAAAGTCATGGCCGTTTTCTTTAAAGTCACACAGGCAGTAGAGAAAAGTCTGTTTCTGAGCACGAGCTGTATTCCGGGCCAGGCCAGGCACTTTGTTCGTACTTCCTTGTTCTGCTTCTCACTGGGTGAGCGGTGTGTTCCTTTTAAAGGTGAGAAGGATGAGGCCCAGAGTGGTGACAACTCGACCAAGTTTCCACTGGAAACCAGCAGAGTGCTGCTGGCCAGGAGCAGCACCACCAGCGTGGGCTTGAGGGCTGTTTCCTCCCAGAGCTCTACTGGGCCCCAGAATGGGTAGGTGCCCTTCAGTGGAACAGCCCTGCCCTGCCCGGCAGGCAGCCGGGCTCTCGAGTCACCAGGGAAACGTGAACTAGGAGTTGGTTGAGCTTCCGTATTTTCAGGCCTCACTTCTGTTGCTGGGTGCTGACCTGCAGATATGACAGTCCCCTACTGCCCTACAAAGCTGTTGACGTTTTATTGGGAACCAAGTGTGGGTCTGCGGGTTGGAAGTTGACAGTGGGAGGGGCAGAAACTGTATTTGAAGCACATAATGCAACTGTCTGAGTCACTGCCTGGCCCCTGACCCTTCTGGAAAGTCCCAGGCAGTTCCTGGTGGACAGCAGGGAAACCCTTGATACTATGAACAGCTGTTTCTTTCCCTTTCGATTCTGGCGGAAACTGCATGGAGCACCTCTCAGTCCCCCCGCCCCCACGGCCCCCGAGCCGCTCACCATGGGGGGGGGGGGGGGTGGGGGGGGGGGGGGGGCGGGGGGGCACTCCTGTTCCCTCCAGCAGTGGCATTTTGTATTGTTTTTGAGGTGTTGTTTGAAGTCAGTCACTTTTGGCTCTGGGGCATTTTTCATTCACCTAGAGACCTGCAAAGACCCAGAGGGAGGCGAGCAGTGAGTGTAAGGTCAGGAGCCACCAGGGTCATGCGGGTCACGCCGCTGTGACGGGCAGGCCCGGCCTTTGTGCTCGGTCTCCATGCCTGTCTTCAACTCCAGATCAGACTCCTCGGCCAAGAGGGCACCTGCCCCACTCAAGAATCGCAGCAGTAGCCATGTGTGGCTGCAGGGGTGTGGCTGCCTGGTCACCTGCCACGCACTGACCTGTGTGATCTCATGGAGCTCTCGCATCCACCAGGAGGCTGTCCATTCTGTAGGCGAAGAAATCAAGGCTCAGAGGGTTGGGCAGCTGCCCTGCATCCACCCTGTTGGGAAGCAGAGGGCCAGGACTAGAACCCAGGTCCACCACTGTCTGGCCCTGCCTCTTCCTGCTGTTGGAGAGTGACCTTGGCTGTCCAGTTGTCATTTGTGACGTGGGGCAGTTGTCCCCTTCACAGACAGGCAGGGCTTACATGAGATCCCATATAAAAAGCATTTATGAACTGTCAAGCACTGCCCAAATTATAGCTTTTGGCTCAGAAAGTGAATAGTTGAGCAGCTCCTCTGTAGGGTGGGCCACAGTGTGCCTCCCGTGGGCTGTCATGTGGATCCTGTCAGACCAGTGGCCCATCCCCGCCCTGGTCTCCGGGCTTCTGTGGCCAACTTGACTTCCCATTAGGTTGGAGCAGCGGGAGCTCGCTGGCTCTTGGTGGTTGGATCACTTCCCGCCCTCGGCCCAGACAGCCTTACTGTTGCAGTTTCCTGTTACATGGAATCGTTTTGGTGCATTTCACTGGCTTCCATCGTTTTGGATCCTGGAGGTGGCCTTCCAGTCCCCACCGACTGGCTCCACCATGGCCCAAACTCGTGTTCCTGTTGGTTCCCTGAAAGTCAGGCCCAGCATCACTGAGGACGAGCCAGGTCCAACACCAGGACCACGTAAGCCACTCGGCAACCTGGTGTCCCAGAAGGAGTCCGCTTGCTCCCCATGCAGTGCCAATACGGCAGGTCTGGGCCTCGTTCCTTCACCTGTCCGTGTAGAAAGCGCTACCACGGTCATTGGGGGTTCAGTGTGCCACCAGCGGTTGTGGGGCCTGTCCAGTGGCAGGTGGTGTCTGTGCACCTTGGAAAGTGGGCAGCAGACTTGTATTTCCTCATCCTCCTCAGACAAGGGCAGGGAACTGCACCAGGGCCCTGGCTCGCTCCGCCCTCCCAGCCTAGGAGACTATCCTCTACTTCCTGACACCAAAGTGTCTTCCCTGAGGCCCAGCACTGGCCTGGCCTGGGGGTCTGTGCCTCGCACGCAGGGGCCTCCACAAGACCAGAGGCTCCAGCAGGCAGTGCACCTGCCTGAGGGCGTGTGGGTCTCAGGAGAGCCCAACACGTGGTGGTTTTCTCTTCTTCTTGTTTATTTCGTATTTTCCAGTTTCTGCGTTTGAGTACATTGATTTTATTTCCTGACTTGCTCCTTTTTGTCAAGGAAGTGAAGGTGGCCAGCCCACCAGCCCCACCTCTCCCTGCTGCCCTCTGTGCGGCCCTGCTGAGCATCGGCAGCTTCCCAGCTTCCTCCTTCCCGAGCAGAATACAGCTCGTGAGCATACAGCTCCTGCTCGGAAGTGGCTGCTTTCTCCTGGAGAGGATGGGTTTCACTTGCCTCCCTGTGCCCGGCCTTCCTCTGAGCTTCTGGACGGTCCCAGAGCATCCAGTATTGGCCTGTCCTGGGGCCTCCGGGGAGGCCTCCTGAACACCTCCACTTGGAGTTTACCGACTCCACCCACCCCACTCCCCTTCTGTCTGTAGCTGCTTCTCACATCCTCGTTGAAAGAACACAGAGGAACTTTGTCCGTTTCAGCTTTTCTTCTCCCACCCGTGGCCCTGATTTCTCTAAGATTCTCCTCAGTGAGTCCTGAAACGCATTTGTTAGCTTGTGAGTCTGTCGTCTGCTCCTGAAAGTGCCGGGGTTAGGTGAGCCCTACCCGCAGGTCCTCCACCTCCGTACTGTCCAGGGTCAGCTTTCCCTCCTGAGCCCTCATCTCTGCCTCCCTCCCGTCCTCTCTCATAGTGGGGAGGGCAGCAGCCAGGCTGGGGCTCTGTCCTGTTCACCAGTGACAGCACCGCCTGCCCCGGGCAGCGGCCGCCCCTCCCTGGTCGTCTGTTACTCTGAAGAGGGTTTGTGTTTGTCTTCTTTCTGAAGCTCATCACCTGAGAACACTTTAGGACATTTGCCCCCAATTCCAGCTCTCCTGACTGTTCTTGTCCGTGGGGAGTGGGGAGTGCAAAGCGAGCCCACCTCTGCCCCTTCCCTGCAGTGGGCCCACTGAGTCCGCTTGATGGGGCTCCTCCCTCTGGTCAGGATCTGACGGGCAGAAGCCGTCACTGGCTCCACTTTCAGCCCTTGGGCTCCCGCAGAGCGCCAGCACCCCAGCGTTGTGTGTCTCTTGCTGGCGCAGGTCAACAAGCACGCGTTTTCTGGAGGGAGAGACACCATCGAGGAGCACAGGCAGTTTTAGGGCAACTGCGACGTGGACGTGTCCTTCATGTACCTGACCTTCTTCCTGGAGGATGACAACAAGCTGGAGCAGATCAGGAAGGTAGGACAGGCCCGTCCCGGCCGCCCCAGCTCGCTCCTCGGGACCTGGAGGGCTCCGGCAGCCAGCTGGGAGCAGTCGGCGTTTCCTCGGGGCCTGAGCCCCGGAGAGTAAATGGAGGCGGGGGATTGGTCTGTAGCCATGGGCCGAGAAACCTCATGAACAGATATTCACAAGAGAGAAACTACAGGCTACTCTTTACTTAGGAGCCAACACAAGGGTTTAATCCTTCTGTCAGAGCATCGAAGTTAAAACAGTTCCCCTACTGACCTAGCAGGGTTTGTGCTGCTGTTTCATTTGCAGTGATCATAAACCAGATGCTGCCAGGCTCCCCCCGCACAGCGTGTCCGGCAGCAGCTTGGCCATGGGATGGAGAACCCCAAGAATGTCCACAGCTGTGCTCGGGTTTCCCAGTTCCCAGGACCTTTTCCAAGGAAGCACCCCTGCTAGAGAAAGAGCCCCTCATATAACAGCGTTCAAAGTGGTAACAGCACAAGTTAGGACCGGCCATACAGCAGAGGCGGGTCACCTAGGAAGTGTCCCGGGGTGGGTGCAGCGGGCGGAGGGTTTCCATGGCAGGACAGTGGGCCTGCGGGAGCGATCAGGCAGACACCAGTGAGATCAGTGCACACACAGCGAGGTCTGCGCACACAGCGAGGTCTGTGCACACGCAGCAAGGTCAGGCAGACACCAGCGAGATCAGTGCACACACAGCGAGGTCTGTGTACACGCAGGGAGGTCAGGCAGACACCAGCGAGGTCAGTGCACACACAGCGAGGTCTGTGCACACGCAGCGAGGTCAGTGCACACGCAGCGAGGTCTGCACACACAGCGAGGTCAGTGCACACACAGCGAGGTCTGCGCACACACAGCGAGGTCAGGCAGACAACAGCGAGGTCTGTGCACACACAGCGAGGTCTGTGCACACACAGCGAGGTCTGCACACATGCAGCGAGGTCAGTGCACACAGCAAGGTCTGTGCACACACAGCGAGGTCAGGCAGACACCAGCGAGATCAGTGCACACACAGCGAGGTCTGTGCACACACAGCGAGGTCTGCGCACACACAGCGAGGTCAGGCAGACAACAGCGAGGTCTGTGCACACACAGCGAGGTCTGTGCACACACAGCGAGGTCAGGCAGACTCCAGCGAGATCAGTGCACATGCAGCGAGGACAGTGCACACGCAGCGAGGGCTGTGCACACACAGCGAGGTCAGGCAGACTCCAGCGAGATCAGTGCACATGCAGCGAGGACAGTGCACACGCAGCGAGGGCTGTGCACACACAGCGAGGTCAGGCAGACTCCAGCGAGATCAGTGCACATGCAGCGAGGACAGTGCACACGCAGCGAGGGCTGTGCACACACAGCGAGGTCAGGCAGACTCCAGCGAGATCAGTGCACATGCAGCGAGGACAGTGCACACGCAGCGAGGGCTGTGCACACACAGCGAGGTCAGGCAGACACCAGCGAGATCAGTGCACACACAGCGAGATCAGTGCACATGCAGCGAGGTCTGCGCACACACAGCGAGGTCCGTGCACACACAGCGAGTTCCGTGCACACGCAGCGAGGTCCGTGCACCGCAAAAAACCTAAGCGATGCCCAAACGTTAGCCATGGCCCCGGCCTTGCTGCTCTGGGGCTTGGGTCAGAGATTCAGCGAAGACTTTACAGAAGCCGGTAGGGCTGGCGAAGCTGTCATTCATTCCCTGTGTTTGGAGTTCAGTTGCAGCGCAGGTTGGTGAGGCCTCCCCTCGACCCTCTCGCTGAGAGGGCAGGAGCGCTCGCGCTCAGAAGGGAAGTGTAATGGACGGGTTTTGTCCCGAGCGAGGCCATGGGGCGGAGCTGTTCTCATGGTGTCTCCCCGCAGGATTACACCAGCGGAGCCATGCTCACCGGGGAGCTCAAGAAGGAGCTCGTGGAGGTCCTGCAGCCCCTGATCGCGGAGCACCAGGCCCGGCGCAAGGAGGTCACAGAGGAGATCGTCAAAGAGTTCATGACCCCCCGGAAGCTGTCCTACGACTTTCAGTAACGCCCATTTATCTCTGTACATAAAGAAGCAAATTTACCCAGAGCCCCAGCCCAATCGAATCACTGCTGTACTTAGGCCGTCACAGCTTCCTGGTCCTGGTGTCGGTAACCCTGTGTCTGTCAGTCCTGTTTCTCCCTGGGCCATCCTTTCCGTCGGGGCCAAACCCTGTGCGCTGTCTGCGCACCGGGCGCCAGGGCTGGGCAGACAGGAGTCCCGCTGGTTCTCTCCCACAAGGCACCCGGCCCGCCCAGAGCCGCCACAGGCGTGCACTGCCAGCCTGTGCCGCCCCGGGGAGCACTTCCACTGAAAACACCCTTCGGTTCCACATAGACCCTCCAAGCCGCTGGTGAGGGAGCCTATAGTCTGCATGTACATTTCAGGAGTTTAATGGGCACAGCCCATCCCCAAAAACCAAAAAGAATTGCCAGCTGTGCATTTAATGGAGAGATCTCCCAGCTTGAAGCTGCTTTTCATACTGAATATCGCCCAAGGAGGCCACTTTTATTAGGTGAGTCTGTGGGAGAAACTCCACACGTGAACTCCAGCCCCACGTGTTCTCTGGCAGTCTCTGCCCTTCTCTGAGCCTCCCCACACCGCTCCCAGCAGCTGGCCCCGGGGACAGGCTCTCCACCCTGAGAACCAGCGCTGGGCCCCCCTGCCGGCTGCTGAGGGGAGTCTTCGGCCTTTGCAGACAACTTTGTCCTGACACTTGGCTGGCATGGAGGCCTGCACCCTGCGGGTGCCCTGGGCGTCCTGGGCGGTGGAGAGCACACAGCAGCCCCCAGGCTCCAAGGGAGCCGTTGAGTCTTGTGCCCAGTGTAGTCTGGGAAAGCCCTTGTGGGGGTGCAGGGTCCACTCCTGAATGCTCTACCCTCTTGTCACTTGTTGGCCTAAATAAATCTCTGGTCCCGCCTGTGTGGCTGTGTTGTGTGGAGTTTGAGCAGGACAGGGGCCTCGCTTCAGGACCCTGGGTGTGCTGCGCCTGCCACCGAGCCGCGGCTGCTCCACAGATGGCCCTTGAGTCTGCTGGAGTCACAGTGGGGGTGTAGAAGGGGAGGCCCACAGTGCAGGAAGCCCCGAGGCACAGACACAGGCTCCCAGGAACCAGCAGCCCATCCACCTGTCCCCCCTTAACAGTCCTGGTCTGGACTCTCACCACTTCCGGTGGAGAATGCAAGCAAAGGTCCTCATTTTGTGCATGGGATGGTCCAAGGTGGGGCTGTGTAGTGACAGGTGCCAGTCTACCAGCCAACCTGGGCTCACTCTACCCACCGTCTTCATTTTGTTACAGGGCAGTAAGGAGCTAGGAAAATTCCAGGGCAAGTGGAATAGGGAAACAGGAAAGTTAAAACAAGGCAAAACTATTGGCAGCCAGCTTGTAACTAACAAGCCATTATCTTCCTCAGCCAAGGACAGGAGGGCAAATGGTTAAAAGCCTCCCTAATGAGAGAATGCAGGAAAGGAGGGGAGGGGGAAAGGTGAGAGGGGCAGCTTTACTCCCTAAGCAGAGAAGCCAGCAAGGCTCTGCGAGACACAGTTGCCAGGTGCTTCTCGTGAATTCTGGGAAGGCCACAGCAATGTAAAAAGGGACCTTGAGAATTAATTTGTACCAAAATAGTCAGCAGAGGAATTTGAAACCTGCAGACGGGAGGGTATATAGTAATACCTCGGACCCCCACCCAACCTGCTCTTCCGATTAACTGAGAGCTCACCTGCGCTTCATAAGCCAAATATATATAGGATATATATAGGTTTGCTTCTTTAATGCAGGTGCATGCTTTCATTGCTTTAATAAATTGGCTTTACACAACACAGTCAAGATCTCATATAAATTCATTTATATGAGAAAACGAGGATCGAGGTTGGGGACAGCCCCTCCCATGGACTCAGGGGCTGTCTGGTAACACCTGGTGAGAGGTGCCGCCAACCATTTTGTGAGGTGGCAAAACGGAGGCATAGACAAGGGGAATGTAACTCGTCCAAGGCCACACTGAGTTTGTTACAAAGCAGCCTGTCCCGACTTCCTTTTGCTAAAACCTGTGCGTTCTTAAAGTTCCCCAAGAGACCCCAGGATCAGGATAGACGAGGTGGCCAGCCCAGCAGGTGTCTGGGTGACAGGGTGGTTCTGGCCCCTGGTGGGCGAGGACTGCTTCCAGGGGAGCTCTGACAGTCGGCGTCCCCTCACCTCCATGCGTCTCAGTGCCATGTGGTGGGGAGACCAGCTGAGCTGCACCTGAGGGACAAGCACAGGGAGCCTCCTGCACGGCAGTGGACAGCTGAGTGAGGGGACAGTGGCTGCGCGGCCAGAGGGAGCACGTGTCCAGGACAGCGCTTCAGAGCCAGAGCGAGAGCGAGGCTCCTGGCACAAGCCTCTGGCACCTGCAGCCTCAGACGGGCCAGCTCTCCCTGAGTGACGGAGTTGTGCCAGCCACCCCCGCACGGGCCAGGACCCAGCTGAGGGGCCCTGGGTCCCCACCTTTCCTCTCCCCTTTGACATTTCAAGTGCAGCCTGACTCTGACAGCACAGTTAGTGGGGAGCTGAGCAAGAGACACCTAAAAGCAGCCTGGTGATCAGGCAGGGAGGGCTTCCTGGAGGAAGTGGTGTCAGACGCGGAGTTAGCCAGGCAGAGGAATGGGAAGGGCGTCCTGCACTGAGCGCAGAGGTAAGCAAACACTTGGTCAGTATGACGCACAGGCCAGGACAGGACGGTCCACCTACGTGTTCTGGTAATAGGACAGTCCCGGAAAGAACACTGCAAGTTCAAGGACATGGTCAAGGCCGGTGTCTAGGAGGGAGGGAGTGTAGTCAAGGCAAGTATTGGCTGACTTCACCCGGGGACTGCTGCAGGGTGGACCCCACAGGTTTGTCTGCACCCGCCAGCCCTGCCCCCGATGGCCCCATTACTGGAGGGCATGCAGGGCCTCGGGAGTCCCTCACCCTCCCTGCTGTGTGGCCTTGAGCAGCCCCGGCTCCCTCTCAGGTGTTTCCTCACCTGGCATCAGGCTGTTGTGATACACTGTGTAAGGCGCCTGGCACCCAGCAGTGTTCAGGAGACAGACCCCCGTGCAAAGGTGGCACACAGCCTAGTGTCCGGGCACCAGTGGGGCCAGGCAGCTGGCTGGGACCCAGTTTTCTTCAGAAAGGGGATAGATTTGAGATGGGGTGGCAAGGAGAGCAGGTGCCGGGCCGAATGCTGAACAGCCCGCTGTGGCAGGGGTGAGCCCGCAGGCCAGGCCCTAGTCCCAAAGGCCGAGGGAGTGGAGCCAGCGAGTGCTGGGCTGGGCCTCACTGCCCATTCGCATAGTGGGAGCACTGGCCACACAGGTGTGGAGAGCTTGGCCTCAGGATGAATCTAAGGCGGAGACACTGGTCACCAGACCACAGCGCAGCACCACTGAGCTTCCTCAGGAACATTTAATTGGCAACAGTCCCCCTCCAAGTGCACAGGCAGAGGGGGTAGCACGACCTGCCCTCACACCAGCTCGCCAGGCCGCCGGACAGGGCCTCTGAGGTGGGGAGGGACCAGGTGAGCTGCATCTAAGGGACTTGGGTGCCCTAAGTAGCAGGGGGCTGAGTGGGGTGGGGTAGTGGCCCAGAGGACAGCTGAGTAAATGGTGGTGCAGACACGGGGTGCTCTGAAGACACGGGGCGGGGGAGGCTGGAATGGACAACTGACCACCTGCACCCAGGACCATGTGACAGATGCCTTCACCCAAGAGGCCGCTCCTTCCTGGCTCCTGTGACCCTCAGGCCAACCCAGCTGGTAACAGATGGCTTTGACCTTCTCTGCTCTGTAGCTGGCGGACCACACCCAGGTCCCAGCTGCCTGTCTTCGGGGTGGCTCCCCGCTGTCCTCGGTGACCACCCAGTGGGGACACTCCCCTTTGCCTCCTCTAGCTACTCTGACCTGTGGAAGCTCCGGTGGGCTGGTGTAAGAGACAGTAAGGGTCCAGGAAAGGCCTGACCCCACTCCAAGTCATGTAAAGGACATGAACTTGGCTTGCACCCCAGTTCTTGTGATCTAGGCAAGCAAACTTTTGTCATAGCAACTGTCATACATAGATGGATCTAGACAAAGCTTGCCCAGTCTTGCCCAGCTTGTAACAATCTGCTACTTCCCCATGATAGGCCAAGCCCTAGCAGTGATCTATGAAGCATGACCGGCCACAGCTTAGTATAAAACAGTGTGTGTAAAAAATAAAGTTGCTGGTGCTGGTGCCTTGTGCCAGTCCTCCTAAGCCCTGGTCTCTGGTGCTTTCATCCCACGCCACCTCTACCCTGAGGGACCCCTTGGGAGCGGGCCTCCACAGGCTGGGCCCCAAGCGGTGGGACAGCTACTTGAACAGGCCCCGGGTGAGCCTCAGCGCGGCTTCGTAGCTGACGAAGACCACCATGTTGACGGGGAAGGCACGGCAGCAGTTGAGCGTCAGCCCCTTGAAGAGGACCCGCGGCCCTTCCTCCCGCACGCTGGTCACCACGCAATGCAGGAGGCCCCTGTAGCGCTGCTGGCCCTGCCCGTCCACCTGCAGGCGAGTCTTGATCACGTCCATGGGGGTGGCCACAGCCCAGGCCAGGACCCCTGCGCAGCCACCAGCCAGCAGCACACCCAGGACATCTGCAGGGGGAGACCCACGAGGGAGCACCTTGATTAGAGGCAGATGGAGGCCCCAGAGGAGAGTGGGTGGGGCTCCCAGGGCAGGGCCCAGCCCTCATGAAGCCCTGGGCTCATTCCACCAATGTGACTCGTCCCAGGCCACACTGAGGGAGTCTGTCCTGACCCTCAGCGTCGAGAGCACTCAGGTTCCCACCCTGGGTGGCTCTGGGGTAGCAGTATGCCACCTGACTCAGTTCCCACTGGCTGAGCCTGTGCCCCTCCCGGGCCCCAGCCCCCACTCACCTGGCTGGCTGTGGCCAGCAGGGGTGAGCCACTCGCTGAGGATGGAGTAGGAGAGGAAGTAGGTGGCGAAGGAGTGGCCCTCCCGGAGGAGCAGGGCCGAGCTGCCCTTGTAGAGGCCCCGCAGCCCCTCCTCACGGGCCACCGTGGCCAGGCAGTGCAGCGGCCCCCGGTACTTGGGCCCAGGCACCTGACTTGCAGGGGGTGCGGGACACATGGGGGGCACCGCCGAGGGCCATGAGGCCGAGGATCTCCGCCTCTGCTGCATCTGCGCCTGCATCTGCGTCTGGGTCTGGGTCTGCAGGCGGACCTTGGCCACCTCGGTAGGCGAGGTCAGGAACACCTGGAGCGGAGACGCAGCCATAGAAGGCGCCAGCACTGCCCACACACCCTGGACCTGGCCTCCCGTCAGCCTCCCGTCACCCACAGTGACATCGGGGGACCTGCACCCCATGAAGATTCAGGCTGGCCCACGGCCCTGGTGGAGCGGCGTTCAAAGCCCACTCTGCCCACCCAAGCTCAAGCCAGCACCTTCCAGAGGTCCTCAAACTACGGCCCTCGGGCCACATGCGGCCCGCGGAAAACATTTATCCCGCCCGCCGGGTGTTTTTGCCTCCGCTGCCTGTCCTGCTTAGCAGCCGACTCGTCCCGGGCCCGCAGTGCGCATGTGTGGAATGTCTGAGGGACAGTGAACTGGCCCCCTGTTTAAAAAGTTTGAGGACCTCTGATACACACTCGTCCAGCACAGAGCGGGCTCCACACACAGTAGGTGTCAGGTAAGTGGCTGTGACTCCAATTCATCAAAGCATTTAATCACATAATTAGTATGTCAATGACATATTACCGTATGACTTAATTAATGTAAGCACTTAATGTAAGAATAATAAAACAAAGTATTTAATAACATTAATATGTAACATAACATTACTGATAATGTTGTTTGCATTTCATGGGTGCTCATACCTGTCAGACTTGGTGTTAGGGGCTTTACATGTGACCTCACTTAGTCCTCATCGAGACGCCTCTTACTGATGAAGAGTCAGAAGTTCAGGGAGGCTCCCCGGAGTCCTCAAGTTCCCTCAGCTGATGAGACTCAGCTGAGTTCTCACCCTTAGTCCCCCAGCCTCCATCCAGCCTCTGCCCTCACGGAGCTTCAGTTTCCCTGCCTTCTGGGCTTAGGGACCTCTGAGGGCCTCCCCACCCCTGGGGGCCCAGGACCCCACTCACACGGACGAGGCCAGAGGCGAAACCCGAGAGCGTGATGTCGGTCCTGGCGGGCTTGGCGTCGGCGCTGCCATACCGGAACCGGCAGATGCGTGTGAGGCAGCTGTGGTAGGTGCCGAAAGACAGTGACGAGACCAGGGACACTGTGCTTATGGGCAACAAGAGGCCCCTGTAGAAGCCCCTCACCTGGTGGGCAGATGGACAGGACCCAAGGGCCGCAGTCAGGCCAGAGGTTCGGCCAGGAGGATGGCCCTGGTCTCACCCCTGCAGGCCCTTCCTGGCTATGGGACCTCAGGCAAGTCACTTACTGCCTAGGGCCTCAGTATCCTGGGCTGTAAAATGGGGCTCAGAGTGCTCAACTTGAGAGATTGTGATGAAGAGACAGAGGGCCAGGCTGGACCCAGGGCAGCGACTTGATGGTGAAGCTGAGGAACTGGCATGCTTCCTTGTTGCCGTTTTCCTTTGGCCCCTCCCTGGCCAGCACCGAGCCCCAAGGTCACTTTGGTAAATGTCCCTGTCCCCCCTCTGGACAGCTCTCTGTCCTGGACCCTGGGGACCTGACAACTCCACCCTGAAGAGGACAGAAATACCCACACATGGGTCCCCCCATCGTCAAAGTCCCCAGACACCCACCCCCTCTAGACCCTCTCCTGCATGCTGGACACCCAGCCCTGGGCCTCAGAGGAATCCAGAGGTTGGTGCAATTATTCCCATTTGGAAGTGAGAGAACCGAGGCTCAGAGAGTGGTGAGTGGCAGGCCTGGGGCCTGAGCCCCGACATCCCCTGCCTGTCCTCCTGGCCCCAGGCCTACCCGCTCTCGCAGATACGTGTCCCGGACGCAGTGCCAGATGCCTGTGTACTTGGGCTCCGTCTGGATCTTGACCTGTGGGAGAATCAGGCTTCAGGAAGGGGTCAAGGTCAGGGCAAGGACAGCAGGCCTGGGGGCGGGGAAGAGCCAACTCCATGGATGTCACGGCCACGCTCTCAGTGGCAGAGCAGGGACAGTGAGCCCCATGTAAGAGGAGGAACCAGAGGCTGGAAAAGAGGGGCAGACTGTCCGGAGGCGGGTGGGGAGGGCCGGGTGTGATGAGCACCCTAGGAAGCTCTTCTGGCGGGGGATGGGGTGCAGGAGGCTCGCAGGGGCAGGCAGGGGAGGGGAGGGGGGAGGAGGAGGGCTGCAGGGCCTATCGCCACACACCTTCACCGTGTCCAGGGGGTAGCCCACAGCAACACCGCAGACGCCTGGAAGGAAACCAGAGCTCGGGGTGAGGACAGCGGGAGCAGACCCCCTCCTCGTCCAGTGTCTCATCAACAGGAGAGCCACCCCCTTCTGCAAACCAGGCAACGGAGGCTCCAAGAGCTGAAGGGACTCCCACCTGGCTGCTGGCGATGTCTCCTTCCCTGAGTCTTGGCCCCCAGGATGCTCCTCGCCCTGCCTCTGGGGCCATGTTTTGGGAGAACTTTTGGTCTGGCACTGGCTGGGCCTGTCCCCACGCCAGGCAGCGCTGGCCCTCAAGCCTCAGGCTGCGACGGGTTTGTCTGGGGGTGGGAGAGCCCAGCCCCCCCAGGGCTCCATGAAGGGCTCCTGGAACCGCGAGCTGTGGCACAGAGTGGACGCGAGGCTTCCTGGACCCGGGCCCTCTGCCCTGCAGAGCGGGCTGGTGCCACCGTCCTGTTTCCGTCTCCTTTCCTGACACCAGGGACTCAATGTCCAGGCCCCAGCACAGGTGAGCAGACAGGTCCCTGGGGATGGGTGGCGAGGGCCATGTGAGGGCAGTAATGCTTTGGGGTTGGGTCCTATTTACTCTGTATCCCAGGACTCAATAAACATGCATGAATGAAAGAATAGAGTGAATGAATGAATGAAATGAAGTAAAAGACTGACTGACTTGAAAAGAATTACCCTCCTTGACCCTCACATAAACCTCAGCAAACTCCTATTCATCCATCAAAGCCCTCCCACAGCACCACCTCCTCTCCGGAGCCCTCCCTCACCCCTGAGCTCGGGCTGCCTCTGTTCCCAGAAGCCTGTGGATCAGAGCCCCTGTCCCACAGCATGCCAGCTCTGCCTCCAGAGCTGGAGTCAAGGACAAGGCCCACGTCTGTTCCTTGTGACCCGGGACCCAGCACAGAGCAGAGGCCCTTTCCGCCAGGCCTTCCGTGGACTCTGGAGGAAACATGTGACATCCAAGATCCCTTCCTGGCTGTGTGATCTTGGGCAAGCCAAGCCCCATCTCTGAGCCTCCTCCTTAGGGGGCTGATGTCCAGGGCAGCAGCTGGCCTCAGTCCCTGCACACAGTAGGACCTCAGCAAGCCTCTGGATGGGGCCAGAGCCCTGGTCTCCCTGGCTTGGCGCTGCTCCCCTCCCCTCCCACACTGTTCCCAGAAGTAAGGACAGGAAGGAGCCCACTGCTGTTTCACACGATAAGCAAGGCCAAGGGTGCCCGGCCCAAAACAGCCTCCACCGCCTGCAAGGTGGGTGGCTGGGAGGATCCGGAGCCTAAATGAACCTGTTTCCCAATGGGCCAGTTACCCGTCTGGGTCTGTCTTTCGCAATGAGCCCTTTCCCCAGAAATAAAAACAGTTGCACACGGTGGCTGGGCAGGCGGGGCTGGGGCGGGGCTGGGGCGGGGACGGGCCCTCCCCTCCTCGGCCCACAGCTTCCAGGCAGCATTGTCCTCACTGTCCACCTCTCCTGGAGCTTCTGGTCCTTTCCCGGCTCAGCCAGTTCTCTGTGCTGGTCACTCCCAGCCTCCTCTTGGCCCAGGCAAAGACCACCTCTGCCCCTGAGCCCCCCATCCCAGAACTGCCCCTCAGCCTCCCCAGCTGGGCCCCCCAGGCCAGTGCAGACTCACCCCCACCCCCCCACCTGCACCCAGCCCTGTGTTGCCACTGGAGTCTCCCAGGAACCAGCTCTGTCCTCCCGTCACTCAGCACCCAGGCCCACACCAGGTCCCAGCCACTTCTGGGGTGACTCCTCAAACCCCACGTCTTCCAGAGGCCCCCCTAGGACAGAGCATCCCCCAGCTCCTCCAGGTACCCCCAGGAGCAACAGTCCCCTACAAGGCCCTACTGCCCTGTCCGCTACCTCCGATGGCTCCAGCAACAAAATCCATGGACAACGTGGGTGTCCCTCCTGAGAACAGTCCAATGTCACCACCAACAACCGGCCAGGTCCTCTCAGACCTTAAATACCTGCGGTGGGGGAGGGGGTGGAAGCAGGTGCTGCTGGCCAGTGGCCCAGAGGCAGAGGTCGTGCTGGAAAGCAGGCAGGTCGATGCCCACCTGGATTCCCGCCCACCCCGCCCCTAATGCCCCTTGTCCCAGTGCCCTCAGGACCCAGCTGTGGGCAGTAGAGAGAGGCCACAGGAGCATCAGGCTCTGGGGACACAGGACCACTGTCTGCACCTGCAGGCCTGGGCCCCAGACCACGTCCAGACACCTCCGGGGAGGTCCAGGAACGGGGCTGCGATGTCCCTGCCCCTCCAGCCCCAGCTCACACCTCATTGGTGTCTTGGGCCTCCCTGACTCCCCTGGAGTGATTCCTGCTCAGGAAACCCACAAAGCTCCCTCACTTGCCCTGGCCAGTTTGGCTCAGTGGACAGAGCGTCGGCCTGCGTACTGAAGGGTCCCAGGTTCGACTCCAGTCAAGGACACGTACCTCGGTTGCAGGCTCCCAGCTCTGGTCGAGGGCATGCGGGAGACAACCAATCGATGTGTCTCTCTCATATTAGTGTTTGTCCCTGTCTCTCCCCCTCCCTTCCACTCTCTCTAAAAATCAATGGAAAAAATGTCCTCGGGTGAGGATTTAAAAAAAAAAAAAGCTCCCTCACTTATTCATTCAACAAACACTATCAGAGCTGAGGCTGCACTGAAGCAAATAAGGCCCGAGCCCAGTCCTCAAGGCGTCTAGTTGACAGGGAGGGGTGGGGGCGTGGGCCACTGATGCCTGGCACCCAGAAGGCTGGTCAGGGCCCTCCTGGGAGCAGCATGAACACCAGCCGCCCACTGTTGGTTCCACCCCCTTCACACTGCCCTGGTCCCACACTGTCCCTGCCCCCAGGGCCCCAGCGAAGTCTGCCTCCACTTGAGTCCCCTGCCCCAGCAAGACGCAGAGCTTGCTGAGCAAGGAGACCACGCCCTGTGGGGCCCACTGCTGGGCTGGCCGTTTGGCCTCTAACCAAACTAGAAGCTGCTCCAAGAGGCTGATTCCATCGGCTCTTTGCTCGAAATCATTGCAGCCCTGCGAGGACCCTGAGGCTCAGAGAGCCGTGAACTTGTCCAGGATGTCCCCTGACCAGAAACCTGGCCGGACCGGGGACTGTGGCCCTCAGGGCAGGGCCACGTGTCCTGGTGGGTGGACTTGTAGGCCAGCCCTGAGCAGGCTGAGAATTGACAGAGGGCAGCCTCGCTGGCGCCTGCCCAGCCATTTTTGAGTGGAGGACACGAGTTGCCAGTAGCACTTGCCACGACAGAGGGCAAAGGGCAGGAGGTGGCCCATCCAAGGCCAGTTCTGATGTCTGTCCTGGACTTTAGAGAGAAGCAGCTCTGTCTGGTTAGGAGCCAAGCTGCCTGTGTTCAGATGCCAGCTCTGTCACTCATGTCAGCTCTAAAACCTCTGGCAAGCTCCCTGACCATTCTGTGCCTCCGTTTCTGCATCCACAAAATGAGGATAGTACCTGCCTCACATCTGTGACCACTCAGGGCAAGCTCCAGTGGAAGTGGCCGGCCAAATGCAAAGGCTGCATTAATAGGAGCATAGGTTCTAGAAGGAAGGAGGTGACAGTCCTGTTATGAGCAGGTAAAGTACAACTGGAGCTTAGGTTCATTTGCAGATGCTACACTTAGAAGGCCAGTACCTTGCGTGATGAGGGAGCTTGAGGAATGTTGTCTAACTGACAGAACAGGGAGCTGTTTAGTCCCATGATTCCTGCAGAGCATCTAATGTGGTAAGTACCACTCACTCCCTGGAACCTGAGCCAGGAACCCAGAAATTGCCCTGAATGCCTTCCCCCCTGCACCCTACATCCAGTGAGGCACCCAGTCCTGTTTATGTTCAGATCCATTTCACAATCCATCTGCACAGCCCCCCGCTGCATCATCTCCCCCTCATGCCACAAACATAGCATGCCTACTATGTGCTACATTCCAGGCACCAGACCACAGCAGTAAATTCAGACTGTTGGGGTCCAACCCCAGCAGGTCCAGGGGTTCCCAAAGGTGTGGACAGAATCGGCGAAGAGGAATGACACGGAGACAGCGTTCAGTTGATCAGCAGCCTAGCCAGGTTCTCTAGCCAGGTTCTAGCCAGGATCTCCAGCCAAGTTCTGTGTGTTTTATTATCTTGTTACATCTGTATTTATACCAGTTGATTTTAATCCTATCAATATCTATTCCAAAGGTTAGGGTGTTTCTTTTTTTTTATCTTTAAATTCTTTATTAGTTAAGGAATTACAAATGTGTCATCATCCCCCCCCATTAACCCCCATGTGTATCTTCTTTATTAAAAAGTCTATTCAGACTCTTTGCCCGTCTTTGAACTGGGCTGTTTGTTTTTTGTTGAGTTGAAGGGGTTCTTTAGACTAGGATAGTATAGATACTAACCCCTCATCAGATATGTAATTTACAAATATTTTCTTCCATTCTGTGGGATCCCTTTTTACAACTGTTAACTGTGTCCGTGGATGCACACGTTTTTTATTTTAATGAATCCAATGTATCTATTCCTTTCTTTAGCTGCCTGTGCTTTTGGTGTCATAGCCAAGAAATGATTGTCACATCCAGTGTCATGAAGATCTTCTCCTATGTTTTCTTCTAAGAGGTTTATAGTTTGGGCTCTTATGTTTAGGCTGTTGAGTTAATTTTGTACATGGTATGGGTAGGGTTCCAACTTCATTTGTTTGTATATAGATCTTGTTCCTTTTTCATTCAGTCCCTGGAGCAGGGGCCCCTGCACACAAACCTATGCGCCCATAGCTTGGCCCCCAAGAGGCAGCAGGGAGCGCTGGGAGTAGGAGATGGGTGTGTTGGGGGCGGGGCGTAAGAATGATCTGGGCGGGGCTCCTACTCCAGACCGCTTCCAATCATACTGCCCCCTCCCGCAGGAGGGGCATGTGACCTGGGACAATCAGCCAGAATCCTTCTCCTGGGTTTGATATTCACCGACTGTCCACAAAGCCCTCACCCTCTGCAGCCTCAGTTTCTCCTTTGTACGCAGGGGGCTGAGCCCAGTGAAACCCCCTCTCTCTCTCCCTGATGCACTTTGCACACATGGCATCCTCCTTAGCGCACTGGGAATGCCATGTAAGGTCTGGTCCCACTGCCTGTTCCAGCCCCATCCCAGACCACCCTTCCCCCTGCTCCCCCTGCCCCAGCCACACAGCCTCTCCCTGCTCACCCCACCTCCCGCTCCTTTTCCCCAGCTCGTCCCACAGCTGCATGCTGCTCCCCCTTCAGATCTGTTTGGAGGCCACCCCCTCACAGACCTCCCTGACCACCTGTCTAACCAGGTATGTTCCTAACCTCTGTAAGGGAGGTTGTTTTTCCTACTGTACAAGGTAGGGATTTCCAAAACCAGTTGCTGCCTAAGAGTAATTGTCACTGACGAAAGCTTGAAATAACCTGTATTCACAGGAGGGTATTCGCATTGCTCCATGTCATAATTGGGACCTCATGCAACAATTTAACAAGGAACAAGGCAGCCCACAAATGCAGAAAATGTGATTCATGAAACATAACTAGCAGGCTGTTCTCCATATTGTCGCATTATTTGATCATGGGTAAACTTCATAAATGCATCATATTGTTCTGCAAGTTTTGTGTTCAGTATTTCTTCATACTCTTCTCGAACTTTCTCTTCACGTTCTTTCCACAAACGTTCACAGATCATCCCAACCTGCCATAGGGTGAATAAGGGCTGTTCTTTTTTTAAAGGTGAGGATGTTGCAGATGAAGTCCCTGGCGAAGCTGGTCCACTGAGGAGAAATGCATGTGGCTGTGCATCAGAAGTACAACATGGATCCTTCTGTTGAAAGCTAGTTTCTAAATGTCTTCTCTTCTGCATGCGTTTATACTCTTGTTTTATGTTGTACAGAATTTGTTCTGTGGTGAGGCAGGACGAGACGTCGCCGAAGGGGGACAGCTCCATTCGAAGGTACTTCTGTGCCGAGGTGGATGCTGACCACGGCTCACATCGCCGCCGCTTCGGGGACACCGGGCTCAGCAGCGGGTCGAAATCCAGAGTCCTTTTCAGAGAGGCCCTGCGCGCCATGGTTCTATCGAGGATCTCCAGCCAAGTTCTGTGTGTTTTATTGTCTTATTAGATCTGTATTTATACCAGTCGATTTTAATCCTCTCAATTTCTATTCCTAAGGTTAGGGCGTTTCTTATCTCCATTCCAGGGAGTAAAGATTATGTAGCTTAAGGGTGATTGTTGCTAGTTAAGGTGATTAACTACCCACCTGGCACCTAGTTGAGGGGTTTTATTCCCTCCCTAACTTCAGGGAAAAATCCCTACCTGGGGAAACAACCTTTCTCGGAGAGGTGACCCTGGTTAAAACACATAGCACCAAGAAGGGCAGCAAACATATTAAGAACAGTATGCCAGCCCTAACCGATTTGGCTCAGTGGATAGAGCGTCGGCCTGCGGACTGAAAGGTCCCAGGTTCAATTCTGGTCAAGGGCATGTACCTTGGTTGCGGGCACATCCCCAGTAG